TTTAAAACAAACTGTTTTGAACAAAAAAAGTCAATTGAATGTATTACTAAATTGAAAGCGTTTTATCTATATCAATATATAATTGTTGCATTTGCTTTGCAATTGTTGAAATGAAAAAAATAAAAGATAGTAAATATATTACCAAGTATTAAGAAAAATTGTTATTATAGAAAGCATAGCCGTTAATTCCCTATCCTTACTATAGTTTTTTTTAAAGATAATTATAATTGTTCTCAATCCCTAAAACCTTATCAGCAATATTTGCATCGAATAGGATAGTATTTCTCTTTTTTCTTATTAACAATATAAGCACCTCATACTTTTGATCGAGGTTGATCATAAAAATAGATTTTTTTATAATTTAAGAAGAAACTAAACAATTATTAGTAGCACTTGAATTATTATCAATATTATTTGAAATATTGAAATAAGTAAATTTAATTTATATGCTTTAATATTAGCTCTAGTTTTATAATACAGACATAGTTTGAATTTATACAATTTGATAATAACAATATTAATTAACATCTAAATTATATAAATTATATATTATGCTTATTTTAACAATTTTAATTACTGCCTATTACTTATGTCATAATAAAAAATAGTACAGTAGCAGTGAATAGTTATTCAACTCCGATAAATTCAATACAAACTAATGTACCCTATACAGCTATATGTCACAATAGTTAATATGTACAGTACATATTTTTATAGCAAATTACCATATAAGTTACGATAAATCTAATAAAAATCGGGATCCAAAATTTGAAATTATACAATGTTAAATCAAATTTATTTAATTTATTAGTGTTCGACTATATTTATGTTATTTAGCAAAGAATTTACTTTAAAAAAGCCAATTTACTATATATAAGTGAACATAGTTTTGACGCACAACAAAGATACAAGCATAAAAAATTAATAACAAATTACAATGCTTTATTCGTTCTTTCCATCAACATCAATAGCAACATCATTATTCACATCCTTTTTTTCTTTCACTTTCACTTCGATAGATTCTTTTACTTTTTCAGTTCTTTTTATTCCACGAATCTTGTATACAACGGGCACAAACCAAGGTGGCAATAATCCTTCTCCGCCTGGTCCAAACCTAAAATCACCCCAAGACTCTTTCTTCGACTTATCATGTGATACACGTCCAAATGATGCCTTTTCTATAAACCATACAAAAGTATTTATAATTATATATGAGAATATGCCAGCGAGCAGGCCATAAGCAACATTGTATGTTAATGGCATAATTGCAATGGTTCTATAAAAATACAGAAATAAGTAATTGGGCTTTGAATTGATTTAAGCATGTATACTGATAGTGCAGATACTTACAAGAAACTAGGTACAGCATCACCAATATATTCCCAGTTAATATCTTTAATACCCTTTGCCATCATAGAACCAATAACTACCAATGCAGGACCAGAAGCCCATGGTGGTATGCTAACAAAAATCGGAGCAAAGAATAACGAGATAAAAAAGAAGAATGATACAGTAAGAGATGTAATTCCAGTTCGACCACCTTCAGTAATTCCTGAACCTGATTCAATAAATGTAGTAACAGGAGATGTGCCAAAAATAGAACCGATCGAAATTGATATTGCATCACATATAAATGCAGCAGTAGAACCTTCAAAATCACCATCTTCGTCTAAGAAACCACCAAATTTTGCCATTGAATAAAGGGTGCCTGTCGTGTCCAGTATATCAAGATATAGGAATGTTATTAAGGCCAACCATACGTCAGAACTTCCGAGGTTGAAGTGCATCGCGCCTAGCGTTCTGACATAATAGAATACATAATAGAATACGTTTATAGTTTCGCATAAATAAAAACAGAAATGTCACTTACTTTTCTATAGCATGGAAACTAACGACATTTTTAAAAAAATCGAATCGAGCGTTACCCTCATCCCTACAAAAAAAGTCATAATATTTGTTACAGCATTCGTTATAGTATCAGTCACAGTACTTTATAACTTTCAAATGAAAAACAAATAAATATATATTATTATATTTGAGACTTACGTGTACGGAAAGTAGGTGACTTCACTATTTCTAAACCAGCTTACGATACTGATAAAAATGATTCCTAAAAACATACTTCCCTTCACTCTAAAAAGTAATAAGATCACCATGATCAAGAAACCTAAAATTCCTAACCAAGTAGTTGGACTTTCCATATGATGGCTAGTACATATACCAGTTGTTTGATTATAATATTGGTCAGGACAGCCACCAAGTGTCACTATTGTGGTAGGATCATGACTTATTAAGGCAATCCCAGCACTTCTTTGTAACCCAATGAAAGTGAGAAAGAAACCAACCCCGGCACCAATTGCAATTTTTATAGACATGGGGATAAGCTTTGCCAACCATTGACGAATACCAATTATTGAAAGGAAGGCAAAAAGAAGACCTTCTACAAATACAGCAGCGATAGCAGTTTCATAAGCAATTTTACCCGAACCATGGAAGCCGACAACTGTATAAGTGAAATAGGCATTCATGCCCATCCTTGAAAAATTAAAATAATTATTATTATTTATTAATGACTTAAAAAATTTGCAGTGTAAAACTTGAATTACCCTGGAGCAAGAGCTAACGGTAAATTTGAAAAGATCCCCATAATGGCGGTTGCTATACCTGAAATGGCGGCTGTCCCAGTGATTAAGTCTCTCTGCACTATTGTCTTACAAGCTATATAATCAGGATCATTGACACATAAATCTGCAGTACCAGAATTGCAAACACACGGACCCCCTTATAGATAAAAATCAGTCGAGAATTATTAATATGCAAATACGTCTCAGCTCGATACGAAATGATTTTTTTTATTTACCTGTATCAGAAAGAATTAATGCATTAACTGATATAATATAGGCCATAGTAACGAAAGTCGCCAATCCAGCACGAAGTTCGGTGGTGAATTTAGTATTGCGAGCATTAGGAACGCCACTGTTCTCAAGTTTAAAATATCTCCCGATAAAACTTTTGGCTACTGCGTTATCTAATTTGTCGAACATTGTCGAAAAATTATTCCTTATTCTTGTTACGTATGATTATTAAACAGTCATTAAACACGAGTTGAAATAAAGCTAAATTGGGCATGTAGCTTGAGCCTATTGACGTTTGATATATAGTATTAAAAGTGCTTTTTTTTGGATTGTTTTTATATAATATATATATACTAGCACATGCTTTGTACATTCATGTAATGTAATTTTTACTATATAAAAGGCTATGTGCTCCATAATTGATTGTCTTGTATGAAATATGTGACTAAAGGTTTAATTCGCGGATCACTAAGGCGATTGGTTGATACAATTGTGGTTAGAAGATTACCCGTGAAGATCGGTTGAGCACACTTAAAATTAGTTAAATCATTTTAATGATATCCGTACCTATATCTCTTATGTTGTTAGTTTGTGAGCATGTAAGTTATTTATTGCATAATCCAGGATTTACCTTGTACAACCAAGCTTAAAATTTATTCCAATTTAATTCGTTATAATACTATTTTATAAAATCTTTAAAATTCTGCAATTCAGTTAAAGTCATAATTTTTGCTTTTAGAATTCTATTTTTGTCAGTTTGTGAGCATGGATCCTGAAAATTAAATCTACAATATCAGTTATGATAACACCGTAAAAAGTAAGTGCTGACTGTAGATCCCCTATGAGTTGTACGTTGCGGAGGAATATTCGATTTCCGGATACGATCCATAATATATATTGAAATTTTTCATTTTTACACTTGAAGATTATCTAGCGGTGTAAACATTGTAAAATTGTAAAGTTGGACAATAAATGTATACCGGATATATCTTTAGTCTTTGTAATAGAGTCGGACAACGAAACAAAACTAGTTTCCGATAGGTCTTACCACAAAACTCGAAACTCAAAATTATAATCCAAACTATACAACCAATCAGATTGTAGGATTTCGTGTAACCTAACGGCTTCGAACAATCATGTGATTTTAAGAAATTCATCACCAAAATTGGGATCCCTTAAAGCGGGGCAGATTACGTAATAAGTGACCAATCAAATCCGTTAAAAATCTCGAATATATGCCTATATTATTTTTGGCTTGTTATAACAATAAATAAAAATAGCCGAAAATATTTTAGGCAGCCTAAACCGTAAATAATTTAGGTTGCCTAAATAATTTCTGCTGCCTAAAATAATAATTTCGGATGCCGAAATTACTTCCGATGCTGAAATTATTTTTTGGCGTCATTGTGCGTAAATTTAACTGAGTTTTTTTTTTTGATTACTAAGGTGAATATGGGTATTATGGCGCACTACCAATTATGGCGCAGTTTTAATATCTCGTGACCTGTTGATCAGAACT